CCCCAAAACCCCAAAACCCCAAAACCCCACCAAGTAAATGGTTTGTTATAAAATAAGAAATAAAATTAAATGTAATTTAAAATTTTTCAAAAGTATATTAGATAAATTATCACATTAAGTGAACCCTATGCCTTCTGTGTCTATCAGTTGTAAATGGCTCATAACAGATCTCTGTAGAATCAATCTCATCAATCATTAATTTGCTCATAAGGTCCCTTTTGAATTTACTATATGGACATTTTTTTGTCTTATAATCACAGTACGCAAGTTCACTAAATAACTACTTTTCATTGAAATACACTTTCACATGGAAGCAATCATCTGATGATTTCTCAAGATGGTTCGAGTTAATTAGGACATTTGGATCCACACAATCACCTTTATTCAGTTTCTCCTCTTCTAAATGTAACTCAATAATAAAGATTCCTGCATAAGCTCCAAGTTCCCATTATTACTCTAAATCAAATAGGAAGGCAATAGGTTATAGATCGCTATCATGAGAGAAAGCTATGAAATACTATTCTTGATTTTAGCAAAGATCACTGTCAATTCCAGAGTTCCTATATTGATATAAATCGATATTGATTTCTTACATTATACACTCAATCTTTGAATCAGTCTTATTTAATAAAAACTTGAATACTCTAGTATTCTTAACATCAAATACCCATTTGTTCCAAACTCCTATTTAATGTGTCATCCAAACGCGTTCAATTTGATCCCAGTCACTATAGTTGAATTTACTCAGAATATGATGGTCAGGCGGATGAATATCTCTCATAGCCAGCAATCCGCATGAGACATAATAGGCATTATGGAATCCAAGCCCATAGAACTTATTCAAAGGCATATCAACTGATTCTGCCATTTTATCATAAATGCCCATTGTTTTGAAATGTCTATGAACATCCTTCCAAAAAAGGAATTCTGATTAATATGTTTGCAAGTATGCTTCCATATCTTTCAAGAGCTTGCAGCTAAAGAGATTTATCTAATCTTTTTCACTCTAAAGGAAAGATTATAAGTAAATTGGCTAGAAATTTCCTGGCAAAATATTTTCAAGCTTTTCAGCCTCTTCTAGTATTCTATTGTGTATCTTAATCTTAGGCATACCTCTGTTTATTTATCTCAAACTATTAATCTATCTTGGTTTCAAATTTTATAATTGCTTAACGTTTTCTAAGAAAGCCTAAATATAGGATGAGCCAGAGATAGTTGTTCTTCCTTTGTCAGAAACCATGACTTTTAATTGATTATGTAGATTAGTTTGATTTAAAAATGGCTCATCTCTTAATAAATACTTTTTATGCATTTATAAGCCCAATAGATGATGTTATCGTATGCCTGCTGAGTCCATATTAGCTGGACCGTTTTCAAAATGTTCTTACATAAGCCATAGCATTGGCGCGTTAGCTCCGTGTCTCAATATCTAGATAACATGAACTAATCTTGCCTCGACATTAATCAATATTATTGATAATAAGAGGAATAGCAGCCTTATTAATTGCATTTTTGTTTTAAATATTATACTTAATCACTATGATATAATAGAAGTATTTCTTGTGGGGTTTTGGGGTTTTGGGG